AAATTGGATTTATACCCCACCCTTCACTTGGAGTCTCAGAGCGGCTTACAAACTCCTTTCCCTTCCCCTCCCCACAACAGACACCCTGTGAGGTGGGTGGGGCTGAGAGAACTCTGACACAAACTGCTCTTTTTCAAGGACAGCTGTGCCAGAGCTTGTGGCTGACCCAAGGTCACATCAGCAGGTGCAAGTGGAGGAGTGGGGAATCAAACCCGGTTCTCCCAGATTAGAGTCCACACACTTAACCACTACACCAAACTGGCTCTCCACACCAAACTGGTTGAGAGAGAGAATTCCCACAGTGCAATCCTAAACAGATCAGTGGGATTAAAAAGGTGCAGCTCTGTTTAGTAAACTACTGCATAGAGTAAACTACTGCATAGAAGTTGTTTTTGGCAATGCATCTAGGTCTGCTTACAGAGATTCTTAATCTGCTATACAAAGCTCAGAATGCTGGGTAAGAATCCCAGACTCATCTTGTGTGTAGGTGGTGCTGCCAAGCCAATCTTGTTCCACTGTTTCTTGGCATTGTTCCCTAAGCACAAGGAGGACTTCCCCAGGTCAGGGGCTTCCCTCTTTTATTAATACTCTCAGTCTGTTTTTCCATCTTTTTCAACGTTTTCTCAGTTACTGAGGTTCTTTTATCTATTTGATTCAGCTGTTTTTGGACATTATCAAGCTTAGTGTTGAGGTTAGTTATCTGCTCCAATAGGGGGTGCAGTGCATTTGCTAGCAGTGCGGAGAAGTCTACAGTTACTTCCTGGTTCTGCGAAGGAGTCGTTGGTATGTTATTTCCGGTCACCAGTTTTTTATCCGGCACTCTCCATCCTCCCCCAGCCATAATATCAACAAGAAGTAAGTTTTCCAAAACAATGCAAAAGTTATCCGATTTAGTCCCGCTTTGTATACTTTAGCAGTTTTTTGCATTCGTTTAACTGCTTATGCGCTTATTTTAGCTCAAAGTCTTTTGTTTCCGATTTAAAACCATTTTTAAAGTTTGCTCAAAGAAAAAAAGGGTGTGTGTGTTTGAATTCCTCTCCCAAACGCTTCAAACTTAGGCGCTTCCAATTACTACCAAGGTTCAGTTTGAACCTTTTTTTACCTGACCTTTGCTTAACTCACGATTTGGAGCCTTGGAGATCTTTTGGAAACATTTTTAGAAGTTTGATCATGGTCGCTTGCTCTGGCAGTCATCTCTGGGCGCCATGCTGGCTCCGCGGCAACGGTACCTTTTGGGGAAGAAGGTGAGCCTCAATTCCTTGGCTGTCACCTTGGAAGAGGTTCTCCTCAGCTCCCCAGGCTGGGGGTCTCCTACAAAGACCCCGGGGAGGTCCGGGATGAACTCGGACCCCTCCAAGTCTCGGCGCGTCTCCATCAGAGCAAGACGGGACGCGTCCGAGAAGCAAAACGCTTAAACCGGAAGTCTACTATATTGTATTTTTGAACAACCAGGGCTGCGTCACTGCACAGGCTGGGTCCAGACTGGGTTATATGGGTTTAGATTATTATACTCATTGATTGAATATATTTTTCATTATTTATGCACGGTTGAATTTTTTGTATTACTTACTGCCTTCTATGCATCTCTGCTGTTTGGGTTTCTTACCACCTGGAGGCTGGCAACCCTAAAAACAAACCCATCAGGAAAATAAAGACTCCAGGGGCTGTCTTCAAAAAACACACACAGACTGGGTTGTATGCAGTGTTTCTTCTGTTTAGGTATTCTAAGAGTCAGCCCTGTGACCAAGAGCAAGCCACTTGAACCTTTTGATCTAGACTCTGGAACAACTTCTGCACCTCTCAGATTTTCATCTTTGAAGAAGAGAGCAATTCCCTTCCACCCACAGAGTTGTCAGTGATCTCGATAAACTTGGATTCAGGCTACACACGTTGGTCTTCACCTCCCAGGAACCCGTAAACATTCTTGAGAGCGACCACATTAATACAATCCAAGTAAACAAGACCAAGGGCAATCTCCAGCTCCTAGCATCGGCACTAAACTGAGGGAGCAATCCTAAATAGGTCTACTGAGAACTAAGTCTCATGTTATTCAATAACGCATACCCTTAGGAAAGTGTCCTTAGGACCACCACCTAAAACAATGGTTGTTGAATTTGCCAGTATACTTATGTGTATCTTAGATGTTTGTATAGCCTTTCTTGGAAACATCCAAGTTGTTTTATCAGCCTCAATATGAAGCATACTAAGGCCCATGTAATAGCGGTATAGGATATAAGGCCCATGTAATAGTGGTATAAGATATATCTATGATATACTATTTAGGAACCTGGGCTAAGGAAATGGTGATTGGGAATAGTCCACACTAACAGAACATGAAAGATTTGGGTTGGATGGAAAATCAGGATTATATTCTAACCAGAATTATCAAAACTTGCCTAAAACAAATGAATGAATCCAGGAACTCTAACAGAATTTGCTAGCACCCACTTCTCAGTTGCTCTTTTTTTAAACCACTTCTGAATTAGGTGCCTCAAGCAGGTCTCTGAAGAAGTGGCATAGCAATGCACTGACTCAAAAAATAAAACAGCTCTGAACTGAGGGGAATCCCTGCTTCTCCAGTGGAAGAAATGACTCCAGTGTAGCCAGGTCAGGGTCTACTGAGCATGGAAAGACCCAACACCCCACCCCAATCTGAAAATCTGGAGAAATGCTGCTGTTCTAAAAGTACCAAGGGTCCCGTACGGTATGTTTACATATGTCCTTCAGCTGACTTTAGTGCTTCAACTAGCCCCACTTATAGCCTATTAGGCCCCACACACCAGGAGCCTCAGCGTACACGGACTCTGTAGCCCACATATCTGGTGGTCAACATAGGACTTGGGGTGGTTCCATTTGCTGTTCTTTCTGTACTCCTCCTTCCGGTTCAGTTCAACTACACATCTCAAGAGTTTGGTGAAGCTCTCTGAAAATGCTAAAATGTTGCAAGTTTAAGGCCCAGAGACAGAATGGTACAAGACTCCAGCCTGACAGTACATGAAGCTGCCTTGTACTGAGTCAGATCACAGGTTCATATTGTCTCCTCAGACTGGCAGCAGCTCCTCATGACCTCAGGCACGGGCCCTTCACACCACCTAGCATCTGATCCTTTCAGCTGAAGTTAGGAGGACTGAACCTGGGACCCCATGCATGCCAAGCAAATGCTCTACCACTGAGTCACAGGCACAGCCTCTCCCTGAAATATATATAAAAAATGGATAAATAAACAAACACACATGTATACATATATTGTGTGTGTGTGTGTGTGTGTGTGTGTGTACACACATATCCCTGTGGCAGTTATGTCACTGCCCCATTGCAATTTTTTTGTTTTTCCAGATAATAATAGTCTTTTCCTACATGTGAACAATGCTCCCTCTAAGCTGTGGAGTCTTGTGAGCAAAAATTCTACTTTGTGAGCTACTGCCTTTAAAGTTGTGAGCGAGAAATTTGGCTACTGCATATATTAGTTTGCTCTGGAGCCATCCTCCATGATCTAAGACAAAAAAAACTTTGAGGTCGCGCACACTAACATAAGCTTAAAGGGAACACTGCATGTGAAACAGGCTGGACATTTTGGAAGGGGCTGTATTTTAGGTACAATTTAAACACATACAAAAATCTAATTACTTCTAATTAGTTCTAATTACTTCTACTATAACTACTTTCAAGTCTCTTTTTCAGAAAGGGCTCCTCTGACGCGGCTGCAATATTTATACGAGTATTGCGACTGTTTGCACTGTCGCACCTGGAAGATCCAGGGCCAGTCCCTGGCATCTCCAACTTATATTAAATATATACTGGCCAACAAAACTGGAAAGACTTTTGCATGAGACCTTGGCATGTCATGACTAGACTGTAGCAGGTGAACCATTCACAGCATTAAAAAGCTTCCTCTGTTTGGAGCAAAGCCCAACTGATTGACTTACCAAGAGAGTCTGTTCTGTTTTCAACAGTTTCATTCACTTTCCTGGCTACCCTGGCAACAGCTTCTCCCATCTTTTTCTCCATGCAGGCCCAATGCCTTATCCGACCACAAAAAAATTCTTCTTAAGATGCTGCAGCAGAAGGAATGCAAAATAAACAACAGACAGCATCACACCAGTAATTCATAAAAGGTGTCTAAGGCAGAAAAGAAATATGCACTCTATAATCAGTACACCCTAAAAATTAGTATCGGACACAAGTGGTAAACAACCAGAGCTGCATCACTGCACAGGCTGGGTCCAGAGTGAGTACAAAATTCCTGCCACCCCACTGCAGAAGCCACAACAAGGGAGCTGAAGGGATGACATCCAGACACCCCATTCCCACGCTGCTTGCTGCTAATTCCACCCCTCCCCATCTCATTAAACAGGGCCACAAATACACCAATCCAGTGAGAATCTTAGGGCGATTTCTCACTAGAGCTGCCTCGCAGCGCAGCGCCGTTTGCCCCAACACAAAAACATGTCAATTTCACACCCGAGGCTGCAGGGCTGCATTTGACCTGCGGCTTTGCCAGATTTCCTTTGCAGTTTCATGATCCTTAAAAACCAGGATCACGAAACTGCGAAGGAAATCGGGCGAAGCCTCAAGTCAAAACGCAGCCCCGGAGCTTCGGGTGTGAAATTGACATGTTTGTGTCGGGGCAAACGGCGGCTGTGCTGCAAGGCAGCTCTAGTGAGAAATCGCCCTTTCTCTCACCCTTGCCACTCCCTATCCTTCCCATAGATAAGCCACAGATTAGCTGTTTTCAAAAAGCCATTAAAGGAATGAACATGTGAATGTAGGGGAATGGAGCTTAGTGCCACTAGTTCAAAGGCTGCACTAAGCTCCTCCCACTGGATTGGCTGCAGGTGGAGCCTCCACAAGTTTCCCTCTAAATTGGAGCAAAGGAGGTTTCACTTTGCTCTAAAAGATGAAATTCCCAGCAACCCTGTGAGTCATGCTCAAAATGAGCATAATTCCAGGTGGTCAGCTGTGTTGGTCTGAAGCAGTAGAACAAATTTAGAGTCCAGTGGGGCACCTTTAAGACCAACAAAGGTTTGTTCAAGGTATGAGCTTTCACGTGCAAGGCACACTTTGTCAAATACATTGGAAAGGAAGCTAAATTTCAAACTTATAGATACAAACTGAACAGCAAATCTACATATTAACATGATACAGATGCTTTAAGATATTCAAAGTGAAACTAAATAACAAACAAAGGTTATAAGGTCAACAGTTGTTTTGATTTAATTAAGAAGGGAAAAGGAGATCAAGATAATAAATATGTCAAAATAGGGGATAAATGTGAGAAGGCATCTTTTCTAATTTGGGAAGTAAACTGAGAGTTACCATTTGTCAAGAAGAAGAAGAAGAAGGAGGAGGAGGAGGAGGAGGAGGAGGAGGAGGAGGAGATTGGATTTATACCCCACCCTTCACTTGGAGTCTCAGAGTGGCTTACAAACTCCTTTCCCTTCCCCTCCCCACAACAGGTGGGTGGGGCTGAGAGAACTCTGACACAAACTGCGCTTTTTCAAGAACAGCTGTGCCAGAGCTTGTGACTGACACAAGGTCACATCAGCAGGTGCAAGTGGAGTGGGGAATCAAACCCGGTTCTCCCAGATTAGAGTCCACACACTTAACCACTACACCAAACTGGCTCTCAGGCATGGAGTTAACAGCAAAACATTCTATTATTCCTTGCATTACATTCAGTATTCTAGTATACTATTTTGAAAAAGACAGCAGTGGGATCTGGAATGTAAACATTATTAACTGTCACAGTGATATGACATATACACATTATCCAGAAATATTTATCAACACTTCTGACAAATTCTGCCCAAGGGCAGGGGGCTTACTTTCATACCTATTGCCCACCAGCTCTGTTCCGTTTGACACTTTGATTAGGACTCCCTTCAAGTTTCTTTTCTAAGAGGTTTATCGAACCAGCTCAGCACTGTAGTCCTATATTTAGCTGACAGAGTAGCAAAGTTAAAATGCTGGACCAATTGCAAACATTTAAAAAAACACAGATCTGCTGAGCTGAGGTAGCTTGCCAGACAAGTAACACTAAACCTGCCTGGAACTGGGCTATGCGTCCTACAAACCTCTGAATATAACAGCAACCAAGCTCCACCAATCAGAAGCATGTTGAGACATACACAAACCAAAAGTTCAGTATGCTGCAGCCAGGAAACTGCTTGCATCCAACCAGATCTTTCACATCTAGTCAAAACACATATGCTGCACGGAGAAGTTTTGCTGTTTTTCAGTGGCATTAAATTCCACAGAAGCACATTTAGGATTGTGATCCTAAATCACCACATCGTATGAAAGCTGCACCATGAGTTGATGTGCTGCATTATGTTCCTGTTACATAAGTACTTTGAAATCAACCTTCTTTTCTTGGGCAGAGATCAGCCACCCTGTCCTTGCAGCAGTCAAGGTTATGTTTATCTCATCCTTTCTTAACAACTAGCCAAGAGTCCTCCAAGAACACTGCCCACTTGGGCAAAGATTTCAGCTTTTCACTCTCATTCTGCTTTAAATTGTGTAGATTTTCTTCATAAAATTGCCCTTCATTTGCATTTTTTTAAAAAAATCTGGGGGCAGGGAAGGTCCCCCTTCATATGTATATAGGGCAACTCCCTCACCATAAGTCGCTAAGTAAAACCAACCTGCTTATTATTCTTTTAGCAGAAACACAACTTGGAAAGCAGCAGCCACCTGTGAGAAACTAGATAAAGGTGTCAAGCGGCAAGTGGAACAGCAGACCACATGACTCCAGAGTCAGACTACAGTTGGGATTTCACCTCTGAATCTTCCTTTACACACAAAGCCTCCCCTCAAACAGAAACTAGTCCAGCTGGGGGAAAGCCTGCAGAGAGGATGCAGAACTTTTCTGTTTGCAGCAAGTTTTAACACAGGGTTTCAACCTTCCACAGGTGAGTTTTTAACTTCCCAAAACGTGATCCTTCCCCTGCAGTGTGATACGATGCAGTCCTTTCCACCACCTTGCATTTTTAAAATCGGACCACGGGACCTCCAGAGTAGCCTTAACTCAGATTAAACCCAAGAAATAGTACAGCTCTCTCAGAAGCAGCAAAACGTTAAAACATCCACTTATTTTAGTACATTTTTATCCCTCCCTTTCTCCAAGGAATCAATTGCGCCTTCAAGGAACAAAGCGTGTGTGCGTCCATTGTTTTCCCCGCCTCCATTTTATCCACACAACAACCTTGAGAGGTAGGTTTGGTTGGAGGATATAAACCCAGGTCTGCCAGGTCTTAGCCCAAGACGCTAACCGCTAAACCACACTGATAGTCTGAGGGGGGGGGGGGAATTAATCCCTTTTGGGGGTGAAATCTAACAAAAATAAATACAATCCTAACTCCCCCTCCTTCCAGCAAAGGTCCTCTCTGTTGACACCGAATGACCTACAGACAGGCTAGCCATAGAGACAGAAAACCAGGTACCCACCATCGCGATGTTTACTTCCGGTCTCAAAGTGAACTGCGTTTTCCACTCTCCAACGCAAAGGGGTAAGAGAGTTTTTCATCACCGAGATGCCAAGCCCTAGAGAGACGACACTCTGCACCCTCAAGGCCAATCGCGGCACTGCCTTTTCTTACCGGAAGTTTAGACCGCCTCTCGTTCTACTCTTTGTTTTGGTTACGGCCTTCACTGCAGCAGCCTCGGGCAGCCAATTCAGGAAGCCCTCCCCCTCCCCCTCCCCCTCCCCCTCCGGTGGCTTTGTCTCTTGCCTCGTAATAAGCCCTAGAATGGGTTGCCCCGTCTTACCGAGAGGCTAAGGCCGGGTCCCCTTCGCTCAGCGTTTCTGGCGTTTTGCAAGCCTGCAAATGCCAAGACCGCCTGCCTGGCTGCCCCTCGCCATGGTGAAGAACAGCAACAGGTGTCCTTTGCATGGGGGATGGGGGGGGGGGATGGAGGAAATCCAGCACCAGCGAGACGGTCCGTGCAGGGACCAATCAGCGCAAGCACAGGGCCAAGGGAAGGAAGAGGGCGCAGAGGTGCCGGAGACAGAGTGCAGCATGGCTGTGACAGCCCCCTGCCGCCCCTGCCCGTTTACAGAGCCCCCTCCGCCGCTGACTCAAGGGGGGGGGGCTTTGTCTCCACATGCTGCGATAAAGGCGTGGAAGTCGGGGAAGGAAAAATGGGCTGTGCCATTTTTAATACTCCCTCCCCCATCAGGGAGAAAGGTTATAGCCTCCCCTTCCAAAGACGACCTTAGTCTTCCACTTAGGTGGACTTATGGAGCTACAGGAGCTTTAAACTTTCTGCCGGATTTTGTATTCCTAATAATGTACATGTAATCCCTTCCTTGCAGACTGAAGCAGTGCATTCTGTTCTACCACCTCAGCAACCCTCTGCCACCTTATTGTACTTTAGACTAGGTCTTTAAAGATGCTTGTCTGCCCCAGCAAGAGAAATTCCTGCCTGAAATTCCTTACAAATGGAAAACTAACAAAGGTCCCGGTCACAGGGAGAGAGAGGCACGACTGCTGGGCGGATTAAAAGGGCACAATCATACAGCAACATCTAGCAAGCGTCACACGCCCATCTCCAACTCGTAGCGTCCGGCCGAAGATGTGGAGTTAAAAAGTAGCTGGGAAAGTGTATTATCCGGAAAACACGGGGCGCAGGTAGGCGTCTGATCGCGGATGCGCTGGTATCCCGTCACATCCAGTGCCCGTCCACATCCCACCGGATGTTTTCTTGTAAGCCTCTGTGGTATGTACACAAACGCGCACGCACACAAACACGGTACTGCTTCGTTGCCACGCTTCTCCATCACCGTGTGATCGGTGGCTGACGGCCTGAGCACAGAGCCTCGGGGAACGTCGGATCATGATACCGCGCTTCATTTTGCTCTGGAGCAAAAAGCTTCACTTCCCCCCCATATTATCTCGCTCGTGTGACCGGGGCCAGAGAGAGGTTCTGTCCCCTTCCTTTGCTTGCAGTGCTGCTTTTCTATTTGCTAGTAGTTTTAAATTTAGGGGAGTATTCCAAGGTGCGATATTCCATGATACACCTGCAGTATCCAAAAAAATATAACAAAGAGCTTTATTTCTACATCCTCAAATCTTCCTAAGACTAATGGAGACTTCCTTACATGGCTAAGGTCTAATGGACACTAGAGCTTCTTCTTGCTCTTAAGACAAAGGGTCATAAAATGCTAATTCTAGCAACTTCATTCCCCAATCAGGACAACAAACTACATCTCAATCTGGCGGGCTTTCTAGCTCCCTAGCAGATAGGATACAGACAAACATGTGATTCACTACACAGTATTAACCCAGTAAACACTAAATAGAAGTGTTCTAACTTGTAACTTCCAACAATCCGGCATCAAATTTACTTTATTTTTATTTATTAATTTCGGCTTATATTTCGCCCTCCCCGCAGGGCAGATAACATCAGTAAAAGTTAAAACATTCCACAGCAGAAGTTTAAAACATAACAAATCATCCACACAATAGTTAACACAGATTAAAACACAACTATAAACTAAAACAGATGGCACGGCATTTAGTACAGTGGTCTCAAAACTGGGGCCACTAGGTTAGTCTTCACTTGATGGGTCGATTGAAGATGTAAGATTCTCCTGAGAGATCACCCAGGGTGCTTTAGCCAACTCACAGCAGTGTCTGCCGGTTTCTTCCAGAATCTTACAGAGGCTTTCTTTTCACACACTCTCTGTTCAGTCTGGAGCAAGAGGTCACTTCTTCCAGGCCCATAAATACTTGCGCAAGAGCCCCGACTTAGCAAGAGCCATTGAGGAGATATCTACAGTTGTTAACCCTGAAACTACAATTATTAAGAAGCATTATCATTTCTTTTGTCATGGGATCTGGTTCCTGCAGGCCCTAGACCAGACTCATAGATTAGACCCATTCTCTGAAAATTCACAATACTATTTGATATGTGAAAGCTCAACAGCCCTAACCTTAATGTGTTTTTTTCCTGAGAAGTAAGACCTACATTGGGCAATGGGGCTACCTCTTTAGTAAGTGTGCATCATACTGAAGCTTTAGGTTGCAAGCCTGCACACATTTATTTCAGTACAGCCCCCAGGGAACTCAGCTGCAGTTCTTTCTGGATAAATATAGGATTGGGATCCCAGAACCATCCAATCAAATCATTTCAGTTGGCAAATGTTCAAAAGAGACCTAAGTTATTGAAAGTCCAGTTTAAATCAAAGGGACAAAGAGGTAAAACCTATGCACAGGCATCTGAAAGTAAATCATACCAGCTTTGATAAGATTGTCTCCTAATTAAATGAGCCCAGAATTGCAGCCTTGACTTAGAAAGCTACTGTTTAGAAAGAAGTTTGTTTTGCATTAACTGTTACTGTGAAACAAAATGGCTACTGAGAAATATTCTACTGCAACCTGGTCCAAATACAGATCTAAGGGTGCATACGTCTTGCTGAAATCAACTAGCTTCATTCCACCTAATACTGTATAGCTTTGTAGCCTTGGTCATGGTATTCATTAGTAAAACAGTTTCTACAGCTGACTTGGTAAAGGTCACAAGCATAAAGTGTTTCCAGTATTTTCATTTCCAGCTTGTCAAAACTAGTGCTGGGGTGAAGTATGTAGGAGAAGAACAGCGCCTTGTATGCCAAAAGAAACACTTAATTCTTTACCTATTAAATCACAATGAAGAATCATGCACTACAGAAGAACAAATAAACACTAGCCTGCCCTCTAGCTCCACTGGGACTCCGCATCCAAAGTGGGATGTTATGCACATATACATCAGAATATTTAAGCCCCAGTTTGTTCTGTGAGACCCCACCCCCAAATGATTTCAGGCACAGAAGACAATCCAGGGATCCTGCTATCCCCTGACCTGGTGTTTGCTTTGTGCTCCAGTGAAATAATATTTCATGCCTGAGTTGCAGTTGATCAAATTAATTATTAACACTGCAAAATAAATGCAACAGCTGATTCACATACACAATAGTTTTACTTCCACATGGACTTAGGCACTAGGCAGAGACAGAAAACCTTATGCAAAGAAAAAGCACACCTGGTAACAAATGTTATGGTGGTGAAGGCTGGTTTGGAAGGAAAAAAATCACACACACACACACACACACACACAGAATTGTGCTTAGATCAATTAACACAAAGGCTAGGGTTGCCAAGTCAAAAATCATCGGGAGCGGGGGACTCCTGTCTGGTGTCCTATGCGCGCGCACAAAGTGCGCGCCGCACGCACATCACCAGAAAGTGATGTTACGATGCCGGGCACGCTGGGAGCGGGGCCATGACCATCCAAGGGGGAAACATAGAGTTTCCCCCTCAGATGGTCGTGGCCCTGCCCCCAGCGTGCCTGGCGTCATAACGTCACTTCCTGGTGATGCGCACGCCGAGGTGGGGTTCCCCCCGGGGCCCAATCTGCCGGCGGCAGGGAACGGGCCTCTGGGGCGGGGGTTTCCCCGCCCCCGGGGGGGACTTGGCAACCCTAAGAAAGGCAGGTGCATTTAAGGCAAAGTGGGGCCACCCTGGGTATTCATAAGGCAAAAGGGAGGAGTAGATTGAAAGGAAGTGTACCTTTGAAGGCCATTTTCTCTTCCTCCATCACTGAAAGGACCTTTTGCAGAGAACGGGGTGGTAAAACCCAGGATTGTCCCACCTAGAAGCACTCTGCATGTTTTGTGAGCAGAAAGAAACCTAATCCTTCCTTCGTATGCATCTGAACATCTTACTCGGCATTTAGAGTCATTTTGAGAAATGCCTGTTTTATTAGTCCACTGAAGTCAACAGACTTAGTACCAAGTAAGTGTACAAAGGATTGCTTTATTGTTTCACCATCTGATGAAGTAGCATGCAGATTTAGTATGGCACAGGGACTCTACCTGCTTGCTGCTGGGGAAATGAGGGATGCAGGAACCTTGGGGAGGGAGAGAAGCTGGCTTCCCAATTGCAGAGAGAGCAAGAGAGAGAGAGAGAGATGTTCTAAACCAAAACTCAATTTATTCCATTACACACTCTTAGTCAGAAAACACTTTTGTAGCATTTCAATATTCAACACAGAATATTTCAACACAACCCCAATATATAAATAGTGCTGTAATTCTATAAAGGATATCCTTGGTTGCTCTGTCACGACCCATAATGGAAGGGTGGTTGGCCAGAACATCAAAAACAAAACTAAATTCTGACATTAAGTAGCTCTTTCCAACTGTAGGGGCTAATGTAACTGTTAAGTCTGTGAGGAGCATTTGACATACACCTGGTGTATACAACAAAGTCAGCTGTCAGCTATGCTGCCATGATGGTTGGGGAGTTTGGTCTGTGTCTGGTTAATTGCTATTGCTTTCCTTTCAGGTTAATTGCTACTGAATTCCTTTCTGCACTTTCTCTGCTGTGTGCCGAAACGCTTATCTTTACAGATGTGCAGGAGGGTGTTGTAGTGTCTGGGATTTCCCTAAGTGCTGTGGGAGAGCGTTCGTTCTCAGCTTCAGCTACCTAACTGTCTCTAAGCCTTATCCCGTGTGCGGGAGGGTGCCTAATTGGCCAGTGCTGTGTTACGAATCCCCTATATCCTATTCTGCCCATGGGGCCGCCGCCATTCTTAACAGTGCTTATGTTACTGCATCTATAGCTCTGCAATAAAAGTATTACCGTTCCTGAATGCGTGTACTTCGTTGTTGGCTGTGGGTTCTGACATTCTGTTAAGAATCCTCCATTCTCTATCTCCGTGTATCTCTCCAAAACCGAGATGAGCGACGGAGAAGAGAAACCAATTCCTGAGAAGGACGACTCCGGGGGGGTCCCGGCTCCTACCACGACCGGTGAACAGACCCCCATGACCCAATCGACTGTGCCGGTGATGACCACGCCACTGGTAACGGCAGCTGACA